TCCGGGCTGATGCCAGAAAGACAGGCAAGGGTTGCCGGGAAAGAGAGCTGTGGATTCGTGCTTTCTGTTAAAACAAGATTCTCCTCGTGTTTCTGAACTTCTGTTTTTCTCTAGCATGTTCTCAGTGCACAGTGGTTGCATTTCTCGTGGGGGCTTGGAGCTTGCACATGAGACATCTTCGCCCTCTCCCTCGGGTTCTCTGAATGATTTTAAAGGAGACTCTAAAAGCACACATTTACATAACCGTCTTTAGTATGCAAGTTGCCTTTAGTGGCTTCCCAGTCAGAGTCCTTAGTTGCTTGGTGTTCAAGGCCACTTGGGATTTATTCTCAGTTGACCTTTCTGACCATAGCTTTGCAGCATCCTAGCTCAGGAGTCAGCCAACTGTGGCCTGCAGGGCGAGCTGAGCCTTTCACCCCTCCACAGCTCATACTGACTTCTGCATCTTTTTAAATGATTACAGAAACCAACCAAACAAACAAAACAAAATCCAGAAGAAAATGGAACAGGCACACCTGAGGCTACAAAGCCGGTTCTGGTGCTCTCTGGCCCATTCTGCATTGTCATCAGCACAGGTGTCCCTGCTTCTGCATTGTGGGGGCTTTGGGCCCTTCACTAGGTCCTGACCCCGCTTTCTGACACCAGCCCAGTCCTCTGCTCTCCCCAACCCCAGGTGACACTGCAGGCAGACTCTGCCCCCTTCTTGTCAGACGAAAGGACACGATGCTGGGGCCTGGCCCTCTTGAGAACTGCCCGGGCTCCTCCTGACTGGAGTTAAGTTGCAAACAATCAGGAATCTTCACCCCAGCATTGTATCTCTGCAAATAAATCGTAGAGCTCTTCTATATTTGAAACATTTTTAGCAGTGTGGGCCCAGAACCACATCCTCAGGGTCTATTTCTCTGCTTATTTGTTTTTGAGACATCTCCCTCAAATTCTACATATCTTTGATGTATCACCCCATACATCTTCTCTCTCAATTTAAAGGCCGTTCCCCTAAAGCTATCAGCTTTTTGTGGAGGGCCACATCATTAATTGGATCTGTGCCCTGAGCCATTTTGTCCAATTGAAAGAATTTACGGGTGTCACAACCTGGGTTTATCTTTCCCCCAGAGCACTTTAATCTTCTAAAGGTTTTACCTGGTGCTTGTTATCTGTAGATGTCTCCATCTTATTTTTTACTGTTGGAGTCTAGGATTAATAAAATTTTAACCATGTAAGGCCCTTGATTTTTGTGCTATTTTTCTACTCTATTTCACTCTTCATATAATCCAGACATTGTTTTCTTAAACTCTTTTCTTTTTTACAACACATTAACCACTACTTAACCACCGCTTTCTGTAACACTCAGCAATATCACTGTTGTTCATTTTCCAACTTTCTTAAAGCCACATGTGCATTGATGTCTTTGTTGCTAGGGCAAAATACCCGACATCTATGAGTTAAAAGAGGAAAGGTTTATTTTAGCTCACAGTTTTTAGAGGTTTCAGTCCCTTGTCAGCTGGCTTCAAGGCAGGAGCGTGACAGAGGGGCAAGAGTTCATGGCAGGGCCAGCAGGAAGCAGCCAGCAGTGATCCTTCCTTTCCCTTTTATCTCACCCAGGCTACTGTTAGCCTATTGGTTGCTGCCACCCACACCCAGGATGGGGCTTCCATCATCCACACCCAGAACTAGGCTAAACCAATCAGTAGTCTAATTTAGTTATTGCACCCTAAATCCATATTCATACACCCACACCCTAGAGCCAGCGACCTCAGAGTCCCACCTGTGAGTGCCTGAGGCTGGGGGGTGAGGGTGGGGAAATCCTTGTGTTCTGTTCTAAGCAGTGTAGTTAGCTCAGGAAAAAAAGGTTTTTCTAAAACAGAATTATGTGATAGACACCTGAGGAATATTTAAAAAAAAATGATGGTGTCTTAGCTACTTCCTGTGGCTGGGACAAAACACCCAGGACTATAATTTAAAGGAGGAGAGGTTTGTTGTGGCTCACGGTTTGGTCAGTGATTGACTGCTGCAGGTTAGGAAGGTCTGCTAGTGGGAAGATAACTCAACAGGAAGCAGGGCGAGAAGGCGGGGCAGTGGCCACCTCTGACCAGGCACCACCTCCTTCTTTTTGAGATAGGGTCTCACTGTGTAATTGAGACTGACCTGGAACTCACTATGTAGCCCAGGCTGGTCTGGAACTCACAGCGATCCTCTTGCTTCAGCCTCCTGAGTGCTGGGATTACAGGCTTGCGCCACCACACCTGGCAGGGTGCCACCTTCTAAGGGCCAGTCGGCCACAGTGCTGTGATTAGTCACCTTCCTCACACGGAGGCAATCAGGGGACATTTCAGATCCAAGCCACGACAGGTGAAGGATGGCCTGTGTACTGTCTTACCAGGTACCGAATTAAAACCCAGCTTCTGTTTATCGAGCGCTTCCTGTGGGCAACACTCTATGCTGATCATTTTACATTTCATGTCATGTAAGTTCTTAAAATGATATTATGCAATAGGTGGTATTTTTCACATTTTTGCTGATGAAGAAGCTAAGGTTTAAAGCACTTCATCAAGTTGCATAAGTCACCCAAGTAGTAAATATGAGACCTGGGTTTTCAGGGGCGAGTCGGGCCTCAGACAGGAAAGATCTCACCTCCTGCCTGGGGAATTTGCTGCCTCAGCTGCTTTCTTGCCAGTTTGTCGGCTGAACTCTTCCACATCACGTAGTAGGGTAGGAAGAAGAGTGGGCCACTGGTATATGCAAATGATTCTGAGATTTCTCTTCCTAGTGGAAACAATTCTGAGTGCAAAGATTTGCTCCATTGCATTAATTCTTACCCAGCCTTGATCTTGATCATCACTCAGGGTCCAGCCAGCACAGGCTCTGCTGAGAGCTCATTCACCGGCTGCAGATGCAGGGATGGCAGGAGGGGGCTGGAGAGTGAGGATGGGCGGCCCAGATTCCAGGGCGACTCTTTTCCTACCCTTCCTGGAGCTCAGGGCTTCTAGGCACAGGATGATTGAACTAAACACACTTGTAATATCTTGTGTTTCTGAACCACAGGAGGAGGGTGTGGTTGGCGCACAGCTATAATCCCAGCACTTGGGAGGCTGAGGCAGGAGGATTGCTATGTGTTGGAGGGCAATCGCTTCTCGGCCTTTTGGCTAAGATCAAGTGGAGGGCAGCCTGGGCTATGTAGTGAATTCAAGACCAGCTTGGACTACATAGCAAGACCTTAGTTTAAACAAAATAAAATAAATCAAATAAACCTAAAGCCCAGTAAGGAGCCCACAGTTGTGAACCTGTCAGGGGAGGCTTCTGTGTGTGCTATGGCCTTGGGTCCTTCAAGTTTAGATCAGTTAAGAGGTTCAGGCTCTAGAACGTCTTTTGAAGCCGTATTTACAGACAAATTCAGTTACGACTCTGTGGAGATAGTGCTTCCCCAGAGATACCTCCTGTCAGTATGTGTGTGGCCTCACGCACACCAGCCCTCAGGACTGGAAGGTAATAATACTGGGTAGAGAGGCTTGGAGGTAGCAGACTGGAAATGGAAGTTTCCTGTGACTTCTCTGACATCTTGTATTTAAAGCTTATTCCTACTTCTCAGAGTCCTACAATGACTGCTTTTAAGAAATAGTAGGGGAAGTAACATTTTTGTCATAGGACTTTTATGTTTTTGTATTTTTAGAATTGTAATATTTTACTGTTTGAGACAAGGTTTCTCTTTATAGTTCAGATGGGCCTTCGACTTAGTATGTGGCCACTGGCCTCAAATTTGTGGCAATCCTGCCTCAGCCTCCTAAGTGCTGGAATTACAGGCACACGCCACTATGCCTAGCTCATTTTATTTTTCAGAAAGTCCTTTTGGAGATACAGTGACAGTGTGCTTCTTAGTTAACAGGAAGTCAGACTGGAAACTCCAAAGCAACATAGATAAGCGGGGCCATAGAGGGTACCCAGATAGCTCCTCTGTCCAAACAGGCATGTTCAGACATGGCTTTGCATTGTTGGGGGTGAAAGAGCTTTACATTTTCAATATTATTGCAAAAGTAGAAGCCCTGAGCAGCTGACACTGTGCCTGGCACATCCCAGTAAACTGATGAGTAAATACAACTTTGTTACAGAAACCTTGCAAGTGGAAAAGAAAAAAAATAGCTTATAACTCCACCACCTTCATATTTACTGATTTAAAATATTATATACATTGGCTACATACAGAGATATTTTATATATAAATATATTTAGTGTACATGTGTACACAAAAAAATTTGATCTCAGCCAAAAGGCCAAGAAGCTATGTATATAAATAAAAACTATGCAAAATGCTGTATATGTTATATACCATTTACATTTTTTTTTGGTACTGGGGATTGAACTCAGGACCTTGCACTTGCCGGGTAGGTACGGTGCCACTGAGCTAAATCCCCAGCCCTGTATCATTTCAATTTTAATGTTAGTATGACAGAGACAGTTTTATATCCTGATTTCTAAAATTTTGTGATAAGCATTTCCCAAAGTTGCTGTGTTGTTTTTGTAATTCTAACTTTAATGACAGCATATTATACTTTCCAATAATTCAGCATAGGCTAGCTACTATTTCTCTTGTCAGTTAGATTACTTTTGAAGTTTTTGATAGTTTTATTCCATTAAAATCTCTGTGCATATATTTCTTTTGAATTATTTCATTAAATGATCAGAATTAGAAATTATGATCATAGGAACGACTCCCCAACTGTCAATCAGTGTGAGTAGATTTATAATTCGAGCATTATCTGCTTTGAGTATGATCGTTTTTAAAAATCCATGTCTATGATTTCATAGCGCAAGGTACCTCACTGTTTTTCTTTCCTTCACTGAACAAAACTAGCAAAAGTGCTCTTTAGGGATGCAGACTCTTGGTCGACTCTGCTGCCTGTGTTGAAGTTCCTCTCCGTGCTGTCTCGCTGGCACCTCGTCGAATGTGCTTTGTGTCCTAGGTGAGGCCGGGCTGTCCGCTGTGCTAACACTGCTCCCTCTCTCAGCTGCCTGTGGAGGTTCGAGAAGAGATGACCAGGAAGGCTATCGCCATGGTCACAAATTTGATGGAGAAGCCACGGAAGAGGAATTCAGAAGACAGCGTTCAGGAGGCCAGCACTTCTGCGCTCACTTATGCTGATGCTTTGGGCCACTTGCAGAAGTCGCTCGCCCACCTGGGGACGCTGGGCCACAGCTTCGTCCTCTCCCTAAAGAACAGCGAGCAGGTAAGGAAGCAGTGAGGCCCTCAGGTGCCTCAGCAGACCTAGTGCCCAACAGCACTGCCCTGCCAGCCACGCCTCTCTTAGACCCTCTTTTCCCTTTTTGTGCAGTGCTGGGGCTCAAACCCAGGTAGCCAAGTGGCCACAGAGCCACACCCAGCCAACACCAGCTCTTCAGGGACACTTAAGACGCCCAGGTGTAGCAGCAGCTCTGATGAGGTTCTCAGACCCGCAGATATTCATGAAAGCCACCCCAAGCCTCTGCCCTTTACCCTCTGCTTTTTCACTTGTCAGCTCACTTCATTCTTTCCAAAGGAATTTGGGGCACGTAGGGCAGATGATACCTAGAAAACAAAGTGAGGAGATGTACTGGGTACCACCACAGCACTTGGGAGGCTGAGGCAGGAGGATTGCTGTGAGTTCAAGTCCAGCTTGAACTACATAAAACAATCCCCCACCATGATAATAAAGTTAAGAAATCTTAAAGACAATGTGGCTTTCAAGCTGTCCTCGCACTGATGTTTTGCTTTCCAGCTGTGTGTCAGGCTGTTCCTCCCTAACTGTTGCAAATTCCGAAAGAGCCTCCCATGCTCACTTTGGGAGTTTCCTGAAAGCAGGACGCTCCTCGTTCCATTTTAGTGTTGTGCATTTCCTGTGTAGCTTCATTGTCAATATGGCTTTTCTGGCCAGCGAAACTGTCCTGCTTCATTTCCAGCTGAGGCTTCAGAGCCCTGCAGATGCTTTGGTGTTAGGATCGGGCAAGGGAGTCGGGGATTTTGTTCTGTGTCTTAACAGCCACAACAGTGTAGATATTCTTCTCAATAACTAGAAAGCTGACAGATAAGTCCTTTTCGTGTAAATGGAAACATTGCTTAGCTACGTGAAAAATCTTCCATTTGTCCTTTAATGCTATGGCAGAGAGCCTGTCAGTGGCCTCCAACCTCCTCTTTCATTTTTCTTAAGTTGTCCACACTTGCAGAATTTTCTTGGCTTGTGGGGCAATATTTCTAACTAGAAAGCTCAGCAGTGGACAGGAATTCAGATAACGAGCAAATGGAAAATTTCAAAATTTGTATGAGATACTTAATCCAAACCCTTCATTAAAAAGATAATGGGAAGAGCTTGGGAATTTGATAGCAGTTTTATTTCATTTGTATTTTTCAGTGCCTATTAGCCTGTCTAATGAATGCTATTAAATACTGGCCCAAGCAAGAATAGAAGCCTTTCTGTGGAGCAAATTGTTTTTACCATCTTGATTTATCCTGCTGACATTCTAAACCACAGCCCATAACTATGAGAACTAGGATTAAACCTGAATCTACAGTGGAAATGGCTTATATTTATTAGTGCGAAGATTTCCAAAGGCTTGTTTACTGTTTAAATTGCATGTACTATATTCCAATCAGGAGGATTATCATTATTCTCCTTGGGACACATTGTCCTGCTCTGACTGGCACGGTGTGTGCGGATCCGAGGAGTGTGAGGGGACCATGCTGCTGCCCGGAGGCCCTTTCCATAACAGACACTGGCAGTCACCCCAGGCAGCCTTTGCTTTTGGCCCCCTAATTGTACGGTGGTCAAGAACACTTGAATTCCCATGAAGTTGGTACAGTCTGAGTGGAAGACCTTTGCTCCTCCCTCCTCCTCGTATAGGCATGGGTCCTGGCTATTACTGAGTCTCACTCAGAGGTACTTTTAAAATAGAAATTGTGAGGACATCAAAAATCCAGCTAATGTTCAGATTTTTTTTTTTTCACACAGTTGTTTTGAAAAACAAACCTATTCAGGATTACAAGAGAAATGGTGAGGAACCTGGAAAGTGCTGCTGTCATTTTGAGACCATATTTGGTTGTCTGCACTTGTGGTCCATGTGTACGTCGTTACTGCACAGGACGTGTGGAGTTCGGAGGATTAGCATGAGACATGGCCACGCCCATTCATTACCAAGGGCGCGCGTTACTGGTGCGCTGTGTCCGTGCTCCCATTGGCCACTTGGCAATGAGTCTCAAGTTCATCTGTTCAGTCCTCCGGGATGTCCCTGGGTATTTGCAAATACAAAATCGTAATTTATCGTTTTAAGTATTAATGTCAGTAATATTTGTTTATATTCAATTCTGTATTAATGTTATAATTCAGTGTGTTGTGTGTTGCAGCAGATGTCCTAAATGCATCCATCTGGCTGGCGACCTTAACTGGTATTTTTAGGGTAGGGCTTACATTATGAGCATCCTGAATACTCATTCGTGGGCTTTGTTTTCTGGCTTATACCTTATGTGGGGGCAGATACGGTATGGTATGGCTGTGGTCCAAGAGTAACTGGACAGTGGATGCCCCCTACCCTCCAGTGCTGGCCACCTGGCATGGTGCCAGAGGACTCGCGTGTTCACAGTGCCTCCTGCCCACGAGCCCCTCCTGTCTTCAGCCACATTGCCCAGACGTGTAAACCCCAGGTCACAGAGACCACCTCTGCTAATACACAGGAAAGTGAGGATTTGCACCAGGCCTGGAGCTGGCACCTGTGTCTTGGTAACCCAGCCATGGCCGTGGATGTGCCGTAGGGGCTGTCGTTTGTGTGTTTGGTGACCTAACGCATCTCACCGCGTGCACACTGATGCAGTTGTTCTGCCCTTGAGTCAGACCTTGGCTCCTGTGTCTTTCAGGAAGCACTGCAGAGATACAGTGACCTGTACGACCGGTCCCGATCGGAAAAGGGACCGCTTCGCAACCTCACTGTGACCATGTGTTTGGAGGGCCAGCCGCTGGGCACGATTCGGCAGCTGCTTGAGGTGGCGGTCGGCCCCCAGGACATGTGCCCCAAGGATGTTGTGCAAAGTGCAATTGTGAAAATAATTTCTGTGTTGAGGTAAGCTCTTGGGTAACCACTGAGGGAAAACCTGGGGTAATGTTTGCCCATATTAGTGTTGACCTCGCGGTTGTCATGAAACTCAACTGTGGTCATGGATGGAAAAGCATTTGACATTTTCAAGTACTTGATAGGAGTGTGAGGTTATTTTTAGGATTCTTAAAGACTTAATGTCTTAAAATACCTGAAAGATGGAGAGCCTGGAGAATGCCCCACCCTCAGTATTACGGCCCCGTTGAAGGAGCAGATGCACTTCCGGTTGGACCTCTCTCCCTCCTCCAGGAGGCCTTGGTGGGGAATGCGGGCGGACACACTGCAGGAAGTGGGTACCAGGAGCTAGGTGCGTGTCCTCTCTTGCCTTTTGCAGCTCCTTCCGGGGAGTGGGGGGAGACGGTGCTGAAGGTCCCTCTGGAGCTCCCAGGAGAGGTTCCTGGCCCTGGGAGGCAGGCAGCAAGCTGTTCGGGTCTCTGGCGTGCTTCACCCACAGCGAGCCACAGGACCTTGACACTGAGATCCTTTGGACCGTGTGCTGCCTTTGCCAGGAGCATCTTGGGGATCAGGACAGGGAGGACGTGAGGCTGGACAAGTAATAAGGCCTCAGTGCTTTCTGTGAATAATGCAGCAAGGCTCAGAGATGCCATTGTGTTTAATTTATTCTCCTTTAAGATTCTTTATCATTCTGTGTTGCTCTTGAGGAACTTTGTGATTAAATGTGTGTCAGTTTCCTGCAGCTGAACTGAAATCAAATGGGCCTTTCTCAGCTTAGTTACCCTCACTTCATAGTTTTCACCATAATACTCTGAGGGTGCTGGTAATTTTATAGAGGACAGACATAAAATATGACTGGGTTTTTGAGAAATAACAGTGCCAAATTAAGAAAGCCTTGCTCCGTTAATAGCTTGATCCGATTATTCTGCCGCTGTTGCAAGTGACGACGGGTATTTGCTGTCACACTTTGTGCCTCGTAGTTTGTACCTATTTTTATGTTTTTTAAAATCAGGCCCTAGATGAAGTTTGCAAAAGCAAACATTAGTGTTTTGATGGTTTTGATTCATTTCCTTAAAATTGGATATTTTCATTGATAATTACAATAATAAATACCAGTAGTATTTTCACATTTGTAAACTTTTGGCATAGCTGATAGTTTTTCTTTCCCACCCCACACCCGCTCCCAGCAGAGGTGGGGTTCTGATCTCCACAGAAGGGGACAGAATCTAAGAAAGGCGGAGAGTGTGCTGGGGAGCTCAGCTGCCTCTTTCTCAGAAGAAAGGGAACTGCTTTTGACAGTGGCTCTGGCATTTACCCTCCATGAGGTTCAGAAGGCACCAAGGGACAGAGGCGTGGAGGGAGCCAACTCAGCAGTGGTTTAAATTATGCACTTGAACTCCACTCTGCATTTCTGGAGTCCGCGAGAAGTGGGTGTAATGACTGTGCTGGTTCCCTGGGCTGTGGGGACTTGGGCCTGGTACCTAGGAGGTCACAGATAAATGAGTTTTTAATAGAGTTCAGCTTGCGCTTTTAGGATGTGCCATATTTGATGCTTAATGGCTCGCGTAGTTAACACTTAGGGAGTGTCTCGGTGACAGCGTGCAGCCAGGCTGTGCCATTCTTGACAGGAAAGACTGTGGGCCCTGACGGGGGGTGGGCGAGGCTTCCCTTCCAAATCTTGTCACCTCCTCCCAGCTTGGTACTTTGTAGACACACACTGCACACACGGATGCGAGCAGGCAGCGTCGACTGCGCCAGACTTCAGCTGGTTCATCTGCGGTGTGGGTGCACAGCGTGCTTCCGAGGTCCTCTGACTTGGGTGTCCCCCTTTCTCTTCACAGTGGTGGCAGTGCTGACCTAGGAGGGACGAGGGACCCGCTCCAGGTCCTGGAGGGCGTGGTCACAGCCGTGCGTGCCAGTGTGGATGCGGGGTAAGGAGGCTGTGGGTGCCTCTCTCGGACCAGGTCTCCAGGCTTCCAGGCTAAGTGGCACGGTGGGCAGTGTGTGGGAGGAAGGGCTGAGGGCCTTCTGCGGGGTGAGGCGGCTGCGTGTCTGGAGCCCACACCTCCAGTGCCATGCTGGGCCTGTGACCTGGACAGCACTGTGTCTTCTTGTGTCCTTTGGGGCAGGAAGTGCCAGAGAGAAAACTGCTTTGAGTTTTTAGAAAAGATCCTCATATATGAGTTAACTTCATTAGCTTGGAAGTTTCTGGAGGATAGCTTTTTTTTTTTTAAGTCTTTATTGAAGCTGGCTGTGATGGCTGTGATGGCACTCAAGAGGCTGAGGCAGGAGGATCAAAAGTTCAAGGCCAGCCAGGGCTGCATAGCCCTATCCCAAAACACCAAAAAAATAAAAAACAAAAAAACCTTTGTAGAAATTCAGTCAACCTCGTTTGAGGGCTCAGAGCTTCTGAAATTAAAAGGTCTGTGATGCCACTTTATAAATAATCCTTCAGTCAGGTACACGGGCATCGAGAAGAGTAACGCAGGCAACGACTAGTGGTTTCTGGTTCCTCCAGGTTCACAGCCATCTCCATCTCACACCCATGGCAACCCTCTAAGTTCTACCCAATCTTCTTTTTCTTTAATTGAAAAGATGATCTCATCGTAGTGGAAACCTGATTGGGGAAACGCCCCATGGTTTCATCAAGAAATGCGTTATTTGTGTGTGTGTCCGTGTTACCCTCTGGTCACTGTGCGGGAGTGTGTGTTTCTGTGTGGTTTCCCGAAACCTCTGGACGCTCATCTCCCACCTCGTGTACTGGAAGTGCTTCCCACTTCTCTGTGGACCCAGTGCCCATGGTTACTGCTGAGGCCATGGTGCTGTTGCTGTTTCAGAGGACAGATAGCTGAGGGAGCGCTGCCCACCCAGCGTCCTGCCCTGGGAGTGGAGCCCAGATCCTGCCCAGCCTTAGTCCCGAGGCCTCTGTGGTATTTGCCCTGCTGCCCTAGGTGTCAGGGTTGAGGGGCAGAAGCCGGTTGGGACACTGCTGTGGTGAACAGGGAGGAGCGCTGCAGCCAGGACCGTTTCCTCTGCTCTTACACGGCAGTCACCCAAACCTTTTGGCACCCGCCTCTTTGGATAGGAAGCTATGGCAGTGGCTAATTCAGTCCCATCCCCTAAAGAGGAGTTGGATTGTTCTGTGTGCTTTCTGGGCACCGTGGTGTGGGTAAAGTCGGGACACATCACCAGTGGGTAGGAAATGTCCTTCGGCCCCTAGAGCTCCAGTCTCCTGAGGAGACAAGCTTGCCTGTAGTCACGGTAACAGTGCTGGAGGGGAAGTACTGCACAGGAAGCCTCAGTGAGTCAGGCAGGTACACAGGGGTGGCACAGACCTGTTGCTGGCAAAGACTGCAGACAGAGCGGGGTGGTGGCTCCCAGTCTGAGCAGCTATAGGAGCAGCAGGTGGTAGAGGCGGGGGACAGTGTGGCCTGGGCCACCCTCAGTCCCTCCTGGAGGCTGCATCAGCTGCTGCCTTCCCAGGCCCAGTGAACCAGTCAGCTGGAGTGGGGGCGGCCAGTTTCCTTGGAGACGAAAGTTCTGGTAGGCTGGATGCTTCCAGAGTCAGCACCCAGTGAGTGCCTCAGCCCTGTCCACTGGGACCTCTGGAATGTGCATGGTGAGTTTCCAGCCATGCATCCTTGTGTGTCTGGTTTTGCTGTCGTGGCTGCCTCCATGTCCTGAATTGACTCAAAATGTCTTCCTTTCCTGATCATTGTGACTTTGGGAAGAGCCGGAAGTCTCATGTGCCAGATCTGATAACTAAGGTGGATGAGGACAGTGTTGTGTCTTTATGAGCCTGCTTTTCCCGTAGATGGTCTCAGCAGTAGCATTCATTATATTTTTTTTCATTTATTGTATTTTTTTATTACACCTGGTAAAGACGCTCAGGAAAGAGGACTCCAGAGCTCCTGCAGGAAGTGGCGAGGACAATGGGATGAGTGTGTTTGAAGCAGGGGAGATTAAAAATTAATTTTTCACAAATGCAAACATTCGTTGTACCCTCTGATCACACCTTTCTCCAAAGACTCTTAACTTGAGTTGGAGCCTAACATGCTTCGAGGAGGAACACATTCGAGGCAGAACAAAATCTTACTGTTTATCCCAGAGACAAAATCACAAAGGTGTCTTTGGAGAAAACTTCACTGAGGGCCGGATGTGGCTCAGTGGCGGGACATTCGCCTACTGTGAGCGAGGCCCAGGCTTCCATCTCCAGTGCTAGAAAAAAGGAGAGAATGAATAGCAATTGGCCAATGAAAGAAAGAAGTGCAGTGGGGCACAGCTTGTTCCGGTTGCACAGATGGGCCTGCTGCTGTCTCTGGGGTTCCCTCTCCAGTGACCTGCATGGTCACCTGCAGTCAGTGTCTGTGTCCAGGTCTCCATTGGGGACCTCGAGTGACACGGGGGTCCCGCCCCTCCCAGCAGCACCCTGGTCACCCACTGCTCACTGTCAGCCTCCTCTTCCTCCTCAGTACAACACGCCCAAGCCCAGCCCTGCCACCTGCCACCCCTCTGGGTGTCTGTAACCTGCACCTGTGAACAGTGTCAGCTGTCACACACATGCACGCATGCACCCACCCTTGGCTCCCGCTCACGCAGACACCACCCTGGGTCGGCTCTAGAAGCCTGGTGTGGAGTAAGGTGAGTGTGGTGGTGCCTGCCTGCCACCCTGTGCCTGGCTCTGCAGCTCTTTACATGGCGGGTGCCGTTTCCCAGCATCTTCTCCTTTCACTTTTGTCTTGGCATGGGTGCCAGTTGCCTTGTAACTGCAGCCTCTGCCCACAGAAGAAAAGCTTTCACTTTCACCTGTGCTAATTTTAAATCACAAAACCCAACACTCAGGCCGGCCGCTGCCGGTGGAGCCAGTCACTGGGACCAACGGCTTCTTCCCGTTGTAACCGCGTTTCTGCCTCACAAGCGGCTGGCATTGTGGGTGTGACTCATGTCAGACCTCCGGTGCCGTCTGCACTTAGTGTGGAGCCACGTGCATATTAAATTTATTCCGTGACTCGGGGTATTTTCCCCTTTGCTGATGTGTCTCTAACATCTGTTTTGATAGTATCTAAATTTGTAGTTTGCATAAGAAAAATACCGTTAAAATCATAATATCCTAAAACAGTGTATCTGCTAAGCCCAGAATTGATAAAATGCTAACGATATCTGTTTAAGAAATAACCAAGAATCCCTGGTGCCCAGCGGTCCCTTTGTGCAGGGGCCAGGAGAAGCGCAGCTCAGTGGGAGCCCTCGAGACAGCAGGATCACACAGAAACTGGCGCCTCCCTTCTTCAGATCACAGCAAAGCTCAGACAGGTGACGGGCCTGTGCAGGGTCCCCAGCTGGGCCTGCCCCGATGTCCCCCCCGCCCCCATGGTGCCTGTGACATGAGTCCCATGGAGGGCACCCTGGTGCGTCTCATGGCTTCACTGTGAGGGGCCCGGGATCTTGGTGACAGCGGCTCTGACTGTGTAGGTCTCAGCCATCCCGGGTCCCATCTCTGGCCCTGCCCCTCCTGCCTTGGCTTTCCCCCTGCTTTCAGCCTTCTGCATACACCTCTAAAATCTCACAGGGATGACCCTGAGCCCGAGCCCCGATGGTGTGTGGAATCAAATCCCCTCCGCTGGCAGCAACAGCTGACTAACAAGGAATTCCTCCACGCTGTACTCCAAAAAGAAAAAAGATTTCCTTTAGAGTGATCGAGTATTTGTGCTTGTGGTGCACGTGTTTAAGTTTCTGTTGAACGCATTAGTGGCTGGATCACCTGAAGCCTTTCAGATCTCAAATGGTGTCAGGGTACTTGAACCTCGTGGAATGCGTGAATATTCCCTAGGGATGTCTTGTTACTTTTCATAGCTCAGGAAGGAAGAAAGAGAGAAGAGAAGAGAGAAGGAGGAGGGTGGGAGGAGAGCAGCGTCCTCCTGAGCACACTGATCGGGATTCCTCCTGCCCTTCCTGTCCTCCTCAATGCAGCCATCTCCCTGGATCCCCCTGTGGGTTCTGTCGCCTTCCTGAAGGCCAAGGTCATAGGGCAGCATCCTGGAGCCACTGTGCGTCCACAAGGTCCTCATTCACCCCAGGCCCTGCTCCCGCTGGGTCACCATGACACGTGACATCGAGTGGCACACTCTGTGGGACACCTGCCTCACAAGCTAGGCTTTGGCGCTGGAATGGTGTACATGCCAAAATCACTGCCTGCCTAGGACTGTTACTGCTGTGTTATTCACAGTATGCATTCATGTGTCAGTAAATCTGACTTCCTCATCAGTCGCCCTGAGTTTTTCCTCGTTGCTCCTAAACAGAAGATAATTCTCTTAGGACAGCAGTGGGAGCCTTTCAGAGCTTTCAGTGATAACAAACAGCCCACTGCAGCACTTGTGCCATAGGTTCACCACTACTGCCCTACAAAGTGTTCACCCCGCCCAAGCTCCACATGGGGAGGGAAGACGCTATGTGTAGAGGTGACCTGCATAGAATGCTAGGGTTCAGGTTAGGGTTACAGGGCTCTCCCTTCCTCTCTCCCTGGATCATGCAGCTGGAGCACCAGGCCTTCCTGCCAGGGGCCCACAGCTATGGAATGGTCAGGTAGACGGGGCTCCTGGCACAGCTGCCCCTGTCCAGAGGGGGCCTTTGTCCATGCCTGCTTCTGCCACTCTTCCTATCATCCAGGCTTTAAAGAGGAGCTGGAAAAACCCTTATTCTGTGTGTGTGTGTGTGTGTGTGTGTGTGAAATACTTCACTGCGAAACGGGCATATGTGTGTAAGCCGATCTCGGAGCCTGGTTGGCAGCTGATTTTGGCAGGAAAGACTGGATGGAGCGACCACGCGTCCCTTCGGGTGTTCAGACTCCACAACACTGGGTTTGCAAGGCATCTCAGAGCTCTGTGTTTCTGACATTTGAATGCAATCTTTCCCTTCCTTCCCTCTCCGTAAGAACCGTGATTGGTATTTTGATTATTGAATATTGATTTCTGAAGTGCTTTTTGGTGTATGTGCCATGCAGAATTGGATAACTCTTTCAACTAACAGTTTGTTCTTTTTGTGTTGTTTTTTGTGGCAGGGTCTAGGTATCTAGGGTCTCAGCTGGCCTCAGACTTGCAGTTGATCCTCCTGCCTCAGCCTTCCAAATAGAATTATAGGTGTGAACCACCCACACCAGGCATAGCTTGTTTATGTTCTTAAAATGTGTCTTTTTGCTTTGACTCCATAGCTGCCTTTGGTTGACTTCCCTTCTTTCCTTTGTATGCGAATATCCTCCCTGCCGCAGTGCATAACAGGGAGAAGCCCCCAGTCTCAAAGTCATCATTTAAGCTAACATATTTGTGCTGTTATTTTCCACTAAGAGAGGTACTAATATATTCTAGCTGACTCCTCTCCTTTAGGCCAAACTCTGTGTGTGTGTGTGTGTGTGTGTGTGTGTGTGTGTGTGTGTGTGAGAGAGAGAGAGAGAGAGATTTTTCCCTTATAAATTAATTTTTTAAAATTATGCAGCCCATTACACTGTAGTATAATGCCTGCCCACTTCCCTGTTCTAGGGGAAAAAGTAGAAACAGCTGCCCATGTATTTTTAGGTAACTGGTGATTTGCCCTTTACCTACTTTTATAACTCAGATTAACCGTTTGTGTAACTCTTACAATGAAGTAAATGTGCTTATGAGAAATACTCTGTTTTTATTCCTAAACTCATTAAATCTTGCCTTTGTAAGAGACTCTAGAAGTGGAATCACATTCCTTCTTTTCATTTGGGTTTTTTACATTACTCTTTCCTTGAATTTTTATTTCATTGGTGCAGGTTTGCACTGCATAACGATCACCCTCAGTGTGGGGAGTTAGTGCATGTGTGTAACGCATCTCGGTGTTTTTACATTCCCTTCCCCTTCCTCTCCTTCCATCTCCTGGTCCTCTTTCCTTGCAGTCATAATTGTGAGCTGGGACTGCCCTGGGTTCAAATTCCAGTGTCTCAATAAAAAAGTCATAGTTGTTATTTTTTGCCCACCTATTTATCTGGAAAACTTCCAAGCCCACAGAAAAGTTGCAAGAATTAAAAAAAGAAAAAAGAAAAGATAAACCTCTGTACTCTTCCCCTTGATCCACCAGTGACCATTTCATGAGTTCTTGCTCGCTGTGTTTCTCTGTGCACTTGCTGAACCACCAGCATCAAAACTGCAACAGAAGCAAAGCCTGCCTGGTAGCCGAGGGCTGGGGTGGCTGCGCTGGTTACCCGCCGCCTTTCCTTTCTGCACAGGCTCCCTGCTGGGCGCCGTGTGCCGATGGTACACGGTGGTGCTCATCTCGGACAGGATGCTCTGTCTGAGGAATGAGTTCTCATAATTCTATTATGTGCTTGAACCGCCACCCTAAAATTAAAACAGTTCTCCAAAATGTCAAATGTTATTAACTGCACATTAAGTTCAAACGTAATAGTCTGGCTCAATTTAATAACTTGGAATGTAGAATAATCTTTCGTGTCTCCTCGGCTTCTGAATCATTTTAATTCTAGACTATGCCTCAGTTTGGTTCAGGGCGCTGAGTGGAAACTGGCAGGTCGTACAAGTTCTGGTATCAGCTCCACTGCTTCCGGTGTGAGCGCGGACTGGGAGGTGAACCTGTCCGCCACTGCTTCCTGCTCTGCAGGTGCCGGAGAAAGACTTAGGATGATGCGGTAGGACTCAGAGCACATAGGAAGCTTTCGCATATCACACTCCAGGCAGGTTTGGAGTGCTCCTAACTTCTGTTTGGTCTTCATGACTCCACTTCCTTCCTTCCCAGTGCGTCCTGCTCCTGCCACCCCCATGGCATTGGGAAGGTGGTCTAGAATTCATCGTCGTTATGTGAAACTGGCATGGACTGCTGGCCTTTAAACTCCTCTCCTCCAGAGTCGTACTTGGTCAGTGTGCACTGCTGACAAAAGGGCACGTTCTTCCAGGACTAGATCATGACGGTTTCTCAGAAAACCCCGGTTGCGATTCTGTAGAAGACAACCACAGATGTCCTCAGCCACAACTGCAGTGCGTGGTTATGTGCCAGACCTTGTAGTATTCCATGCATCACGTTTCCTATTTTATGTTTCTGTTTAACTCTGAATAGCCCCTCAAGGAAGGTTCTGTTACCCATCTCTCTTAACAAATAAGGAAACCAAGGCTCAGAACCGGCATGTGACTTCTTGGCCAAAGTGTCACTCGAAAGTTGTTTCCCCTCATGAAAGAAACACTCCTGCAGAGGTCTGATTTCTGTCTGTTGTTATGAATCCAGAAAGCAAAACTGACATTGACACCCGAGTAGCACATGTTCACAGGCCCCAGGATGGAGAAGTTGGATGAGCTCCCGTGTCGGCAGGGAGGTCATCGAGAGGGTGGCCCAGCTCACAAGGGGAGGACCTCAGCATGGGGCTTCCTGGTGTGGCAGCTGGTGGGTGTCGCGTGGTACGGAGATCAGAGTAACAGTGACGCCAGGGGCTGTGCAGCGGAGATCCCTGTGCACTCACGGAGGGGTCGGGTGGGTGGGACACTAGGGACACGAGACACTGTCAGGAGGTGTGGATCCTGAGGGGACCAGGCCCGCTCTGGCTCGCCGTGTCGGTGCCCAGCAGTCAGGCTCAGCTCCCGTTCTTCCTGTCTGGATTCCATTTTCCTCCTTTCTGTGTCTGTATGTCAGGCTTATCCTTGATGATCCCACTGTCGCTCCATGCCTCTTCCTCAGTTGTTCAAGTATATGTTACAGCAGCAGCTTGGATAATGGTCCCTATTGAAGTCTTTCTGTTCCATTTTATTAGCTCTTTGAAGGCAGAGACCATGTAATTTTTAAATCTCTGTCATCAAGCACAAACTGTAGTGATTGCTGATGCTGGTAATGGTAGCTCTGATGGGGACAATTCTGGCAGCGATGGTTGCTGTCCAATGTGTGTCCCTGTGTGTCTCACACTGCGCCTGGTGCATTGTATCCACTCCCTGGCCTCCGCCTGCTTACCTAGGAAGTAGGGCCCATGACAGTCCTGAGCTTGCCCAGAGTTGCTGGGAAAGGACGGAGTCAGGAGCCGCAGTTAGGCCTTTCCAGTGCCCCACATTGTTCACTTGCAAGTAGCACACATCCGGAGACACCTGTGCCTTCTGTTTCTTGTACACCATTCCTTCCAATTTCTGATAAATGTTGAGAACCTAACAAATGTCTTTGTAAATTTGTGTGTTTCAGCTAATGTCTACATTTTATAATTTCCTTTATTCCTAAATACAATGAATTATTTTTTAATGTACATGGCCATAAAATAGCCCTTGACAAGTACATGCCCCAATACATGCAAAGAAACATATTCAAGGGTGTTGTAGAATTTTATTCTTTTCAGAAGAGTTTGAAAAATGTATCCTTGTTAGCACAGGAATTTGGTTTCTGGTGAGTTAGTCTGGGACTTGGGCTGGGTGATTTATTGCCTACAGCCTTGTAATGATGTGGTCACCACCAAACCAGGGTGAGCAAGCGCGTTAGTAGGCTGGGCATGTGTGGGAAGGCCTTTCCTGAAGATAACCCGCCACAGAGTGAGGCAGTGTCTCCAGTGAGTTCCTGCCCATCACAGGAGAGGCTGGTGCTGCTGGGGAGTTGTGCACAGCGCCCCCTCTTTGAGTCTCTTCAGACTGCACTCACAAGCCCTTGAGTGAGGGCTTTGGGTCATAGGGCATCACCACCTGGAGGCGCTTGTGGGCAGGCGCTCTCTTCCCTGAGCCTGGAAATGCAATTATGGTGGCTGCTTTGCATAGTTATTGCGAACAAGTAACTGAATGCATCAAATTTCTGGAATGGTACCAGCATTATTAGTAGGATAAATAGAGAAGTAGGCCCTCCTATTTATTAATTAGCTAAAGACATACTGGTTAATGTTTGTTATTTTTACCTGGTTAATGTAACTCATTTTAATAGGGTACTATTGAAAAATCACATTATTGTACACATTTGTTAGATGCCTGTGGTGGTTGCTGTAAAAACCTAACCTTTTCCACTCAACGGGGCAAAAATAAAGTCATCCAGCAAACAGGTATTTAGGTCACTTGAATGCTAGAACAGACTGTAAGCCTTTCTCTGTCCCCTCCATGTCCTTCCACAGGGAGCAGCTGGTGGCTCCAGAGGACCTGCTGGAGTGGCTGCGGCCCTTCTGTGAAGACGATGCCCTCCCTGTGCAGCCCCGAGTCCGCGCACTGCAGCTCTTGGAGCAGTCCTTCCGCCTGACAGAGGAGGACAGCAGGCTCCTGGTGTTCTTCCGGACAGAGGCCATCCTCAAAGCTGCCTGGCCCGGGAGACAGGTAAGGCACGGTGCACACCAGTCATCCCAGCACTCTGGGAGGCTGAGGCAGGGGGGTTGCAAGTTCATGCCCAGCCTGGACAAATGGCTGGTGGATGTAGCTTCATGTGGAAATCCTGGGTTCAGTGCCCAGTGTGGCAAAACAAAACACTGAAAAGTTTCTCTACTAACAATAATTAGAGGTCAGCCCTGTTTGGAGGTTAGTAACTGAGTGCATGCATAAAGTTTCCTTTATTTGTTTGAACACACACCTGTGTACTAGTCGTGTCTTACACCACATACATTTATGACTTTTTTCTTCAAAGCAACTGGGACCATTCACAAAATCCTTCACCTGTGGCAGTCAGCTTCACGGTGTGCTGGGCATGTGGGCTGGCCTTCCTTGTGGTATCTCAGTAGATGCCGTGGGGAGACACAATGTCGTGTCTTTTCTATGCTTCCCTGCTGCTCCCTCTGTCCTCCTCAAAATCCTCCCTGACCACTGCAGGCTTCACTGAACCTTGACTTCTGTACCTGGGAACTTTAATGGTCTACTGTTAGTACTGTAGGGAGGATGGACTTCGTTTTGAACCCTCTGAGTCCCCCACGAACGTGTGCAGAGCTTAAATACTTGTTGCTAGAGGAAATGAAACGCTTGTTTCTTAGGGAAAGGTTGTGGCTATTGAATTTGGCTTACACTGCAAACAGGTGCTCCCTAAAGACAGCACTATGGCTTGTGTCTAGATGTTTCTGCGAAGCCGCAGTGAAAGAGCCACTGCTGTCTTCAGTATATTCTCAACAGAGTGCCAGGACTTTATCCTACATCTAGGCTCGGGAGACCACTCAGGGCCCAGCTAAGAAGCAGCCTCAGAATACGGCAAACGCAGGCTGCAGTGTAAAATGCTTGTGCATGCTTAGGAAAAGGGTGTGTGTGTGTGTGTGTGTGTGTGTGTGTGTGTGTGTGTGTGCTCAGCAAGTGCAGAGGCAGGTGTTGTGCTCCTGTCCCTAGGGCGAGACTTCACTCGGCCCAGTCCAGAACTCCTGGTCCTGAGGCAGGTGAGCTCTCCAGCAGCAGGAGCCTTCTTAATGCAGCCTCATTTTTCAAGTTCTCAACCTGGTTCGGTTTCTTCTTCCGATTGTTGGAGCCGGCCAGGCCAGTGAGGCTGGTATCTCACTTTGAATAATGTAGATCTGTGAACTGAAAATATTAGGAACCAGTGGAAGCCAGGGAAAAAACAGCCGTCTCCCCTGTCGCGTTGAAGCTCTAGAATACACACTTTGATTGCTGGGCCCAAACTCCTCACAGATAAGCAAGCATCTCCACTGTTTCTTCTTTTAAGCTTTTTTCCATGTTCCAACTATGCAAAGAATAAGTTAGTTTTTGATGATCTCAGTGATTTCTGAGTATTTCTGAGACTGTCGTTTCCTCATAGCTTAACTTCTTTGGAAACAGGATTTAAGGCAGCTGAGCCTGTATTACTAAACTTCCTTTTTTGAGCATGTCTCTGTATCAGCTTGGCTTTATTGCTAGTACAGACTGTTTTCTCTCATTTGTCACGTCCATATGTAACTTCTTATTTCACCAGTGCTTCCTTGTGATGCATCAGACTTTCAGACTCGAGAAAATCTCTCCCAGGTGTCTCAGATACTCGGAAAAGTTATCTCACCACCCCCTCATTCTTTTTATTTCCTCTCTGCGTTCTCCTGCATAAGAGCAGTTACCATGTTCTGGCAGCTGATGAGCAGGGTTCTAGCATATTTGCTAGTAGAAATAAGAACACTTCTGTACTGGCTTCATTCTGCTGTTCTCTAGTCTCTCCATTCTCTCCAGCCTGGCGCTGCTGGTTTAAATCTCCTTTGGATGACAAGTGAATTAGATGAGGAACTTTGTCTTGTAATTGACCTGACTTCTCGCTCCTTAGCAAATGAATGCAGGAAAATTGAGGTTTCAGAATGGAAACGTCTAGGGTGTTACAGAACCTCTCTGTAGTTCAAAGGATCTCCTAAGTTGTTGCTTTTCAGAACATTTCTCTCAGCACTAGAAACATTTGGGTGCTGATATATGGTTTTTCTGTGGGTCTTCACCTTCAGCTGCAGGATCCAGAGGTTGAGTCCTACCGCGCGTGATGGCTTCCAGGCACCACGGACCTTGCACAAGCAAGGGGAGGTAGAGGGTGTCTGCTGCCTCCCCCGAGTCTCTCCCACACACAGTACCACGCTTGCTATGCCCCCTGTCCCCAGGAGACCTCTGATGCTGTCATGTGGTCTCGCTGTCTGTACCTTTTTCGCCACCTCTCCAGTCTCACACTTTGGTAATATTCAGGGCAGAGTTGGGTTCTTACAGTCCAGAGATGAGAATAGATAATGATATTGTAATGTTCAGTAACCACAAATGCGGGCCTGCTCCTTTCCCCATGCCAGGTGATCCTCTCAGGCAGCTTTGCAGACATCAGAGTGGAACTTGATATTTAGTTACCCTCCAGCTGCCTGATGACAGGGGCCCGCAGATCACCAGGGCTGCTGCGAGTCAAAAGCAGTTGGTGACACCTCTCTCACACTGCTTCACAGAGAGATGGCAGTTTCCTGTTTCCTAGTGACTGGTTAGCAGAATTAAAAATCAGGACGCCCTCACTTTTCAACAGTTGGAGAGACTTTCATTTCTCTTCCAGAAACCCATCCTGGCACAGGGAAAGAGAGAGGTTGGGGAGAGGAGAGTGGGGCCAAAAGGGAGGGATGGGGGTGTCGGGCTAATCCCTTTGATACAGTTTATCTGGGCTTTTCAGCTTTCATAATTTTCTAGTTAACTGGTGCATAAAGAATATGGGTCAGAGTGCTGACGTTTCCTTTAAAAACTTGTATACCTCGGCACCTCACTCTGGCTGCCGTGCTGGTGTGAAAGGAAACATGTTGCTTAAGAGTCCACCTTTAAGATTTCCCTGGGTCTGAACTTGTGCTAAGAGTGATGCCCAGCAAAGATGAGCTGAAGACAACCTTTAACCTCATGGTAGAGCCACGAGTTTGCTGCTTAACAGGCGAGGACTCGGGAGGCCTCTGGTTAGCCTTGATTCATTTGCCAAAACATTAACAAAATACACACCTCTACCAGTCAGAGCTCAAAGAGCACAAGAAAAGTTCAGTTTGCACAGCTGTATTTAGTTCCTTAAAAATAATTTACTGTTGCTTAAATGTCCTCAGAACTAGGACCCCTGGGCATGATTTGTGTGAACAAATATAGGGGAACATTTGATGTGAGGAATGTGCGTGCACACACAATATACCTCTAACACCTGAGAAATCACCTGGTCCTGGAGCAAGAAGAGACTTTCAGAAGTGTCCAGTTCTGCTGGGTGTGATGGTGCACTCCTGTTATCCCAGCACTAGGCAGGAGGCAAGAGGATCACTGTGAGTTCAAGCCCAGCCTGGGCTACATAGCACAACCCTGTCTTAAAATAAAAAGAAAATAACCTTCTACTTTGATAGATGCATTTTGTAGAAAAGGAAATGGATGTCCAGAAAAGAGAAGTCACTTCCTTGGATTTTAGCTTAAATGTCACCTATTCTAAAATGACACAGCCTAAATTAGCTACTTGCTCACAGTCTATTTTATTGCTGTCCTAATTCTCCAAAGTGCTTCCCACTATCTGCTGGCTTCCTCTTACCTATGCTTATGTCTATTTATTATATGATAGCTTTTTTCTGCCTGTAGAATATAAATTCCCTGATAATAGGGATCTCAGAGATACTCAATAAATATTTGTTGAATAAATGAATAATAAATCTTTAAAAACTTGCACAATGCCGCCCTTAAATGGCAAGGCCGAGACTCCTGGCTTTGACCCTAATGTCCCTGCCACTGATGATGGAGAGTTGGATCCTCCGTGTCCCCTGTGTGCAAGCGGAAGGACAGCTGAGAATGCTGGGAGATGTCCTCACAGGGTGCCCAGTGCCTTTCCATTGACTCTGTTGCATTAGTTTGCTGTACTTTGCTGGCAGTGATTTGTGACCAGCCATTCGGCTCATGAGGAAGTGAATAGGTGCAAGCATGTTTGTCCAGATGCGAGTGAGAGATTTGAAAGTTAAAGCAGAGCCCTGTGTCCCTTTCCTCCCCACCTGATGGAAGTAAAGAGAGCATCTGCATTCTCTGGGCCTGTAGATACCGGAGGATGCTGCGTCTCCCTCTGTGAATCATGTTCTTTCCTCTCGTGCTTTGCCCCTGGCTCCTGGCATCTGGGCAGCAGAAGAGGAGGCAGGATCTGTGTGCAGTGCACGTTCATTTCTGAGCTGTCCTGTAGGGTGCATGTCATCCTCTGTTCCAGATGTGGTTGTGTGGCTGTGACTTGTGACATCACTTGTGACACTGGAATGGCAGGACCAGAGCCACAAAGCCTGTGTTCCTGGCCCTGGGCGACGCTTCCTTTTGGTTTCTGGGAAACAGACTCTGCACTGTCACCTAGTTGGCACCAGGACCCACAGACCACCTTCCCCAGCTTTCCCTCTTCCCATCGTGGCTTTGCAGGGACAAATGTGGTCGCCACGAGAAGTTGGAAGTTTGAACACACTGCCTTCGCCTTTCCTGTCAGTCACTGTCTCCGCACAGTGTTACCCGTGTTACTGCTGCTTAGTTCAAATGTCGGAAGATGCAGCGCCTAAGAATTTGCTTCCATGCCACAGTGTGTGGGATATTCACTAGACATTCTTCAGGCACATATCATATGTGAGAAAGATGGCTAAGGCCATTAGTCATAAAGGGAGTGAGCTCTTCAGCCACACAGCCCTGGATTCTGACCCCAGCTCACCACTCGCTCTGTGAGCTGGAGACCTCATCCAGACCTCATGGCCTCGGTGTCCTCGTCCAGCAAGTGGAAATAAAGTGCAGCTGTGGTGTGGTTATCTGATGTAATGCCATCGAAATGCTGATCCCAGATGAGGAAGATGGCCCTCATTGGTCGTGGTCGCCACACTGGTGAGGATGCAGATTCTTCACCCAAGAAGTTGATGCCTAAAGGGTTTAGGTGCCAGGAT